CGATCCAAAATAATTATCTGCAGATTTTTAGTTTGTTTTATGTATGATCTATTATTATCTACCTGAAGACATGCTTTTGATAAAAAAAAAAGAAGTCATCCGAGGGAGTATGAAGTGGGTTTAAGTGCAAAAAAAAAAAATGAAAACAAAGGAAAAAAAAAGGGAAAACGGAAACCGAAACAAAAAAAAAGAATGAAATGAAGACAGATTCTTTGTTCTTGGTTTGCTATTATTATTATTATTATTATTATTTTATTTTTTTTGTAATTATTATTGTGATATAAAATTGAAAAGTCCTCAAAATTAAAGTATATGTATATGTTAACCATATTATATAGAAGTTGTGGGGTGCCTAACACCTTCCTCAAGCTTAACCGACCTTCTGAACCTAGTCAATTTCTACGTAGACCTTGGTGATCTATCCCACCTCATTTCGATAGATGGCGACTCCATCCATTTTGGCACGTCAACAGTTTGGCGACTCCACTGGGGACACATTGAGAGGTCAAGCCATTTACACTTTAATTTTGGGGTTTTTTAATTACTAACTTCTATTTTGTAGGTGGCATGGAATACCTTGTAAGTTTTTATTTTGTTATTTTATTTAATATTTTTGTTATTTTCATATGTTAACTTTATGTGTATACTCCCTCACACACCTCACTTGCATATCATTTTTGTCCTTGATGAGGTGAACTCGATCTCTAGATAGATGGATAACTCATGGAGCAATGAAAAGCGCAATGCTTTCATTGTGAAGTGAGATTTATCTCTTTTAGGTTCATTTTGTTGGTTAATATGGCTTGACAGCCATAATGCTACTGCTGTATTAAGTCATGAAATGCCTATTGTTAACTCTATAGAAGTTGGCAATTGTTGACTTTATGGAAGTCAATAATTGTTGACCAATGGAAGTTAGCAGTTGAAAAAGCCTAATCGTATAGTATCCACTAGGAAACCATGTGTAATGGACTTAGACAAAACTTAACCCTAGGACAACCAACCGAGTAAACCACCTTCAAAGTCTAGGAACCTTATACATAGGACACATTAGAAGTATTTTATTTTTAACAATGATTTTGTGTTTCTTAGGTGAGGAATTTGACCAAGAGGTATGACATTCATTAACTCTCCTTTTTCTTTTCTTTAATAAATAGGTAATTGATTATTTTACACATGGATTCTTTGGAGAAAAAGAACAATAAGGGAAAAAGGGCGAATTTAGAGTTAGAATGTCCACCATTATTCAAGAAGAACAAGTCACACAAGGATGGATTCTCTATGCAGACCAAAAGACCTTGTGTAAAAGACTTGGTTGTTGCTTGGAATAGTTTGAGTAATCTTGACAAAGTGAGGTTTGACAAGAAATTTGGCAGACTAGCTTATGTGCTGCAAGTAGAGTCGGACTGGGAAATCATTAGGGCAAGCCTAAGATTTTATGTCTCGCATCTTCGTTGCTTTGTTTTTCTTGAGTTTGAGTTGGTACCCACCATTGAAGAGTATTTTCAATTATCGTTCAGTCATCTAGAAATGAGTTCAGAAGTTTATGTTCCAAACCCTGTTAACTTTCAATTAAATAAGTTACAATTTCAATCCATACTACAAAAGATTTTGAGCTTTCCTTTAGAGTTCATAGAAAGTTGCATTATGAAGAAAATGACGTTTGGGGAGTTAATTGGAATATGATGTATTCCAAATTAAAGTTTGATCTAAGTTCACTTTCTGAGGAGGACCGCTTAAATTTTGTTGCCTTAGGTATATATGGAATGGTTATTTTGCCCACTAATATGGACAGTATTAGTTCATCGGTTATAGCTATGTTTGAGCGGTTGATCAAGAATCCAAATCTTAAAGTTGCTCTTGTTTTAATTGTTGAAACTCTATGCGATGCTAACTATATTCGAGCTCATGGCAAGGGCAAATTCACATGTTCTGCTAGTTTGTTTACAATATGGATACATGTGCATTTATTAAAGGTAAATGTCTCCACAATTAGGGAGTTTGGAATTTTGCAAAAAAAATAATCAATTGGAAAAGAAAATGGCTGACCAATAGCATCAACAATTCTTGAATTTGAAATCTGAAGATATAGTCTAGTGTGCGACATGGTTGAAGTCAACTGATTACTTTCATCCTCCACGTGGCCATAACTAGATTCCATTATTGGGCATTTGAGGAGCTATTAGTTATAGTTCACAACATTAGTGATGAGGCAATTCCGTGATAGGCAAAGTAAACCATTGCTAGATGGTATCTCTTCATATGGGTTTGATTATTCTCTAGATACTCAAGTAATTAATCAAATTGGCTTTGCCAAAGAAGTATGGTCACAATGTGAAGTTCGTTTCTCAAGGAACAAGGTTTCAGTCACTTCTGAGTTTGAAGAATGGAGGAAAATTTGGCTTCAAGACATAGTTATCCCCTATGACATTCTTGTCATTAAAGAAGCTATCATTATGGATTTGAAGAAAAGAATAGCAAAGCTAGAAGGTTTGTCATATACTCAAAGGGTCAAGCATGAAAATGAAATTAGACAGAAAAATATGGACATTTATCTTCTGGAAGGTGAGAAGCAAAAATTGATTAAGGAAAAGAATTCTGTAACTTTTGAAAAAAAGGAGGCAGAGAAAGAAATCAACAAGCAGGCTCAAACTCTTAAAAAATTAAGAAAGATCATCGAGAAGGAAGAAAGGCAGAATGATCATTTAATGTGTAATAAAAACAAGTTGGAGGATGAGCTCAATCAAGTCAAGGATTAGAGTGTCGATTTAAAGACTCTAATAAAGCAGCAGCAGAGTGAGATTGATCGACTTAAGAGTTTTGAAAATGAAGTGGAGAATTTGCTCGATAATAAATTACAATTGTTGCAAAAACTTGAGGAAGCTCAAAATAATGAAGAACTGATGAAGGAAAAAATGGCGTTAATGCAAGTTTATCAAAATGAGAAGATAAGAGGACTAAAAGCAGAGGTAAGAAGATTAAATAGACAATTGAGTGAGGCATTAGCTATAATTGATCAATTAAAGAGAGAAGGAGGAAAGGTGCTCTATTTGGTCAATGGAATCTACTCTGAAGCAATGAAGGTTGAGCATACTATTCCACCAAATCAACATGATGCGGCTTCAAATTTTGTGGAAAGGCTTTCAAGGATGATAAGGGATTATTGTGAACATGAACTTGAAACAATAGAGTATTGGAAAAACAAAGAGAAATGAAAGTTTATGATTGTTATTTGTTAGTTGTTATATTCGAAATTTTAAATAAAAGAATAACGTTTGAAGTCAAATTTCACATTTTCTTGAATTTTATTAGTTGAGAAAAAGCAAGTTCCTCAATAAAAAGAAGAAAAGATATGAAGGAGGCAATCTCCTCATTATTTTTCTTTTACTTTAAAAAAATTCTAAAAGATCATGAAGGGGGCAATCTCCTCATGTTTTTGGCTGGCGTGACAATTGCTTGGCTCTAATTTCTCATTCCCTTTACAAATGGCTAAAGTTGTTCTTGACAATAAAGAATCCATGTGTAAAAATAAAAACAAATAATTAGAAGTTAGGTTTACTCATTAATGGGAACTTTGGGAACTTATCTTTCAAAATACCAATTAGATAAATTCATGATTTGTTAATAATGCTCATATTTTCTTCAGGTGTTGAAAGATTGGTCCTAAAAAGAATTATCCAAGAGTTTGTTCACTTATTCTCACTAGAGCTCTTGCAAGGAAGATGGCTGACAAAGCTAATTTAGAGAAGGTAGCTCTGGAAAATCGTGTTGAAAATATGAAAAATACTTTGAAGGAATTGATGGCTTCCTTGCAATCTCTTCAAGCAACCTTAGTCACAAGGGCACCTTTGACAACAAATCCCTTGTTTGAAGGAAATGTTTCTATGGAAAATCTCCCTATTGCCACATCTACTATTGGAAAGGAGCCAATGTCATCTTGCCCACCAAATCCAACTATTGGTGGAACTTATGGGACAAAGCCATTTGTTCTAAATGCTGGAGTTGCTACAGTTCAATCTAATGATCAAGAAGAGACTCAAGTTGGCAAGTCAATCACAGAGGATGAAGACAAGGCAATTAAAGCGAAGGTGCAGTTGATGGAGGAAACACTAAAATCGATGCAAGGTGTCCAAACCAATAAACCGGTTGACATCTCATCTTTGTGCTTTTTCCCAAACATTCAATTGCCTCATAAGTTTAAATTGCCTGAGTTTGATAAGTATAATGGCACTGGTTGTCCTTATGCTCACTTGATGATGTATTGCAGGAAGATGGCTCCTTATGCCAATGATGAGAAGCTAATGATACATTACTTTCAGGATAGTCTGACAAGTCCTACAGATGCTTGGTTTTTTACTTTAGACAAAAGTAAGGTCAAAAGTTGGCATGATTTGACTTACAATTTTATGAAGCAATATGAATACAATACATCATTAGCTCATAGTAGAGAAGATCTTCAAAGAACAGAGAAGAAATCGAGTGAAAGTTTTAAGGAATTTGCTCAAAGGTGACGTGGATTGGCTGCTCGAGTTCAACCGCCACTAACTGATCATAAATTGAGTAATTTATTCATTAAATCAACTAAAGGGCCTTATCATGAAAAGTTGATGACTTGTGTAAATTACACTTTCGCCCAGTTGGTTGTTGTGGGAGAACAAGTGGAGGATGGAATCAAGTTTGGAATTATCATTGATTATCAAGCATTGAAGAGTCTCCTTGAACAATACCAAAATGGTAGTTCAGGGGTTTCTAGTTCAGAGAGGCTTGGCCCAAGTCATAAGAAAGAAAATGAAATTGGCACCATTAACTCAGTTTATGAAATGTATGGGAGAAATAATCAGTCACGTCCTCAAAGGCAATTCAATAATCCTTTCCAAGCTCCAACTTATCAGCCGACAGCTTTTACAAGTCAGTCAAGGCCACTTTATTCGTTTGGTACCAATCGTCCACAACAAAAAGTGAGACAACATTTCGACAAGCTTCCTTTGTCATATACTGAAGTGTTTCAACAATTGGTAGCAACTGGTCTTGTTACTCCTGTACCTATGGTTCCAATAAAACCACCATTTCCAACATGGTACAATCCATAAGCAAGATGTGAATATCACAACGAAGGTGTTGGGCATGACCTTGAAAATTGTTTGGCTTTAAGGCATCGTGTTCAAGATTTGATAGAGACAAAGGAGTTATAGATTGCATCAGAACCCGAAGTTGTTGGTCCAAATATCACTAAAAACCCCTACCACCACATAATGGTTCAACAGTCAATATGATCAAGAAGGATTTTGAGGAAGGTTAAGAGGTGGCTGCAGTTACTCTTACCAATCAAGTTTCATCAACTCCTAGATATCCTTTAATATTGAAGGGGCCAACGCTTACAGTTTCACTTAAACAAGGTTGATCTTAAAACTACTATTGATGAGGGCTTGAATAAGTGAACAATGGAGTTTTTCCCTATTGCTATCATTTTGGAATGAAAGGTGTCTATCATGTTAGTCTTTATTTGCATTTTCCAAACTCCTTTCATATTGCAATTTGAATCTTTGTTCTTCATGTTTTAATTCATGGTTCTTTAGTTCTTGATTTTTACTTCCATGAGTTGCACTGTTAGTGAACTTGAATTCAATGTTGAACCCTATAAAGAAACTTGAGGCTTAAGGAAAGAGGAAAGTTTGAGAAATGAGGAAGGTGATTGAGGGAGAAATAATGGATGAGTAGGAATGAAGGAAATGTACAAAGAGAAATTGATCTCAAAATTTGAAACAAACATCCCTATGATAGAAAGCTTGAGAATTCTTATCCTTACCATTTGAATCCTTTGCCAAGGATTCATCTTTAAGAATTGCCACAAATTGCAGAAAACCAAAAAAAAAAAAAAAATGGTGGAATTTTTGCTAACTTTGTTAGGTGATTGTTATCATTTTGATGCCTATGGTAGAAGATCCAAGGATAGAAGGCCTTCCTTTTGAAACTCTATTCCCTAAACCTTGAAAGATTACCCTTAGTAAAAGACTTTGAGCTTAATTTTAATGAACATTCTTTCATGACCAATTCAACAACCTGGGAATATTGTTGCATGCCAAACTGGGGGCAAATGTTACTTTCGTTGGAAGATTTGGTAAAAATTATTTTGAAAGGAAAAAAAAGAAGTGGAAGCTCAAAACAAAAACAAAAAAAAAAAAAAAAAAAAAAAAAGAGGAGAAGAAGAAAATGGGGATAAAGGAGCCAATAAAGGAGAAGAAAGTTTTCTCTAAGACATGGCATGCAATTGCAGGGCAAATTGGGTACTTCGAGCTTATATTAACTATTCTTTCAGTAACCATACCTAAGCCCTATAACAATCTATAAAAGTCCTTTTTGAGGGTTGGATATTTGTAGACATTTTGATGATAGCAATCACCAAACTAGGGATATCAAATCATACTTAGATTAAAGAGCTATTAGGTTCAATGATGAAAGGCCTTGTTTCTATTTCCCAAACACTAAAGCCAACCTTAGTTACCCACTTTGAGCCAAAAGAAAAGGCAATCATCATAATAGAAAAGTCAGGATGATTATTTCTTTGAATATACCTACATCAAGAACTTGGGGTCTGAAGAGTGAAATTAAGGGGGGCAAAAGGGATTTTATCATTGAGCTTATATGTCCTTTCTTTCTAATTAGCCAAGCCCTAGACCATGATACAAGCTTATTCAAAGCCCTTATCAGAGATTTTGAAAGCTATTGAATCTAAGTATGATATTTCTCAAAAAAAAAAAAAAAAGAAGAAGAAGAAGAAGAAGAAGGAAGAAGGAAGATGAATATAAATAAATGTGGCAAACAAGTTGAGATTTCATGGGAAGGAAAATTTCATTGCTCTAGACAAAATCTTGATTTTTGAAAAACTCAAAATTCCACTTGGCACTTTCACTATTTGAAATTCTTACAAAGCTATTCTTGAGGAATTTGCTCATTTGTGAAAATAGGATCAATTTCTTTTTTAAAAAATAAAAAGAGAAAGAGAGAGAGAGAGAGAGAGAGAGAGAGAGAGAGAGAGAGAATTTATGAAAGGGGCATCTTAATTCTATTCTAGGTCAAATTGGTAGTTGTTACTCATGGAAGTTAAATCACATTATTTGTTTATAAAATCCATTGTGCTTCATAAGATTTTTTGTTAATCTTACCCATGATTGTTTAAACATCATTGCATTTGACATTGATTGAAAGGTTCAAAATTGCATATAGGATTTGACATTTGAAAAAAAAAAAGACAAGTAGATGCATTGAATTCTTGATGAGATAGTATGGGTGAATTAAACATGTTCACAAAATTTAAAGCATCATCAGAGATGGAAAAGATTAATAACGGTTCAAGATGACACCAAAGGACATTTGTTAATCTCTTGAGCCTATAAGGTTTAAAGTCGTGATATTGATGAAAGTTCAAGATGGAATTGAACATTGGCAAAAGGCACAAATTATTTGAGGTTTGAAGAAATTCTAATTTGATTCAAGATCTTTGTCAAAGAAGAAGAGATGAAGTTGCATCTCAAAAAAAAAAAAAAAAAGAGAGAGAGAAAAAGAAAACGAAGTTGTGTCCTAGAAAATCACATCCTAGATGAAGTTGATCTTAAAAGGAAGAAAAGATGAAGTTGCATCTCAGAAAAAAGAAAAGATGAAGTTGGCATCTTGGAAAATTACATCTTAGATGAAGTTGCATCTCAAGAAGAAGAAGAAATGAAGTTTAATCAAAAGAAAGAAGAGGCAGAAAAAAGGAAAGAAAAAGAAGATCACATCCTAGATGAAGTTGCATCTCAGAAAAAAGAAAAGATGAAGTTGGCATCT